TATGCAATTACTGCCAAATACACATCTTTCTAGTGTTCTGCAGTTCATTAAGAACTCCAAATCTTTCTGAAATTCAATAAGGTGAAACTTATTTCCTAATATTGAAAAAAAAATGAAAAATTCCGAGGCTTCAGCATTTTTATCGAAACAGAAATATTTAAGGATAATTTTAAATATAATCGGTAATGTTAATTTTAATGGTTCGTGTTGAATTTAGGATTTGTTTAGGTCTCCTGTTTGTTCTTTGTTTCAGGTATTCGCAAAAAGCTACACAAGGGCTGTCTGCACCAGCCATCCCTAATTTTGAACCGAAAGAAGGCAGGCGGCGAGTAAATAACACCTACCGCCAACTCTTGGGCTACTCCAATCGAATAGTGGAATTTGAATTTCACTCTCATAACGCACCCACGATTTAAAAGTGTAGTTTGCGAACTATAGACTGTCATAGTCACAGTCCTTAACCACTGTTTTAGTATCTCGTATAATACTCTATTAATGAAAGACTAACAGATAGAAAAATAGATAAACAGATACAGATAGATAAGTTGTTAACTCGAGAACATTTGCCATCAAGAAGAACAATGCAATAATTATAATATGCTGTAACACTGTAACGAGTGGTGTAGTCCTCAACAATTCTTGAAACCCTCCAAACACAGATGTTTAAAGATAGTCATTAAATATTTTGTACGTGTTAACAGTCCATTATATGTCCACGCATCCTGCACCATATGGGAAACATAACAGAAAATGTACACGTATACACATTATCATGTGAGTGTGCGTTGGAGATAAAACAATTTAAGCGAGAATAAAGCTAAACAACAAAACTGTATGTGTATATGTAGTTGTTGAACAGTCAGTTTAGTGAACAGTGCATATATATCTATTCACACATAATTAAATACCCAGTGTAGAAATAAATTTTATCAGTATGTTTCGAAAATATATTTTTATCATTGTTGGCCCATTTCAAAGACGGTACTTTACTGTTTTCCGTCTTCGTTTGTTTGTTATTTAGCATTGTAAGACTAGAGGGAAGGCAGCTAGTCATCATCACCCACCGCCAACTCTTGGGCTACTCTTTTACCAACTAATAGCGAGATTGGCCGTCACATTATAACGCCCCTACGGCTGAAAGGGCGAGCATGTTTGGTGAGACGGGGATTTGTTTTCCGTTTTCTTTGGTCTTGTTATGCATATTGAACATTATCCGCCCCTTACATCTTCTACTTTTCTGTTACGCATGTTGAACATAGCTGGTTACTTTCCGGGAGTTATCTTCCATTCTTGTCATTCGTCCTTTTATTAAAGCATGTTCAACATTATTGCCTTCTATTTTTCTCCTTCTTCTCTGTTCTTGTTATGCATGTCGAATATTATTGGTCACCGAATTCGTACCTTTTCAGTTTCTTTTGTTGTTGTTTAGGTAATCGTTGCTAGAAATTTTCCATCGTCTCATATCTCGAATTTCTGTAAATTCCTTGTCCATATTATCTGTAATTATGTTAGGAGTTGACTCAGAAGCGTTAATAGTGTTCCTTCTATGTTGATTGCGGAACATGCGATTCATCCAGAAGAAAGTTCTAAGAAACTGTTATAAATCACAGCAATTGTCGATGAATTTTTGAAACCAATCAAATGAGTTTATACAAACGAATCGTTGAAGTTTAATGTATTCAGTTCAGTAATTGAAAACGTTGATGTTGTCCCATCAATATTAAGTAAGAACGCCTGACAGATCCAAACAAAGTATTTTAAATCGCGGTTTAATCTTTCTGTATGACAAGGTATCACTATCTGAACCCTTCATTCAGTTGTTGAATCTTTTCTTTTGAAATCTAAAAGTTAGTACTGCAAATTATTTATGTAAAATATATATATATATATACATGAGTTTTTCGTGAATCTGAGAAAAATGCGAACAGTGGAATCTTTTTGCCTTTCCAATAAGTTTAAACTATACGAGACATTGGTAGAGGATTCAGCTTTAAGTTTAGGAGCTCGTGACGTCAATGATTGAAGTGTACTTTCTTTAACGACTGATGTACTACGCCCTTTAGGAATAGGAAACAATACATTACTTTCAGAGAAAATAAAAGGCGAATCAAGCTATTACAGTTCATAAGCAGTGGAAAGTGATGAAACACGCGATATCCTTAGTCCAGAGTATTCCAAGCTATAATGGAGTAAGGCAATCACTCCTATTGGTCTGTCTGTCCAAGTGATTGATCCATTAGGTCCTGTACAGATATTATGAGCAGAAAGCAACAACCCTAAGCCGCACGTGGCCTCACCCAATCATTTCTCGGATATGGATCCATAGATATTGATCTGGACTCAGACGAATTAGAAGTGCGCAGATTATAAGTAAAAGGCAAGTATTTGTTGTTCTAGCGTGGCTTCATGTTCCCACTAGCGCCATATTGAATCGCAAAAAAAAGAAAGTATTAACGTGAGGCGGATTTTGGATCTATCTAACGAGAAACAGTACTACACCCTACTGGAACACAAAAATGTTTGATCTAATTTTTGGACAGAATGAGAGGTGTGAGATTACTGAAAGAGCATACAACGAATCTAAATCATTCCAAAGAAATCCATATTGAAACTTTGATATGGTCTGAAACTATTATTGATTTATCAATTAAGTCATAACTTATTGCCTTAGCATGATAGTATAATTTTTGGTATGGATATTATTGTTCTAAAATCTGCTTAGTACATGTACTATAATTGTGTAGCTTATTTTTGCATTATCTCAATCATTCTTTGAAGTATGGTTCTGTGATGTTTCAACCAAACTGATCAGCTCAATTCTGTGAAAAGGTTCTCCACTTGTTCTCTTCCCTATTCATATTGATCAGCGTGGCATAATTTTCTATGTATATTATTCTCTTTGTTACCTACTGCTTTCTTTGGCAAACAGTATTTGTTAATCGTTAAGTGAATGACTTCTACAGAGATAGGTACCACTGTTACCTTATCTTTGAACGTATATTATAACCCTTCTGACAAAAACAGTAGGAATACAATGAGCAGATACTGCGATTTTGAATATCAAGACGCAACACGTGCTCTGTCACCACTATCCTCCAGGTACCCTAATTAATGGTACACACATGAGAAGAAACATTTGTTTGTAATTCAATACATTCAAGAGTAAACTTTAGTCGCCGACTGCTAGGCTTAAGTAATAATTTAAATATCTAGAACGTTACTCAATTCTTAAGAAGATATTCATGTATTGTTTTCTAGACAGTAATAATTATCTTAAAGATATAAATCCACTGTAGTGTATCGAAAAGTAATTGTTTTAACTGGCTTTAAAACTTGAAATAATGTTAACTGAATGCGCACGAGGTCTTTTCAATGTCTCGTTACCGTATTGGAAAAATAATGTTGACTATAATTCCAAATTTACTACATATGTCTACACGAAACGTACAAGCCTGTTGTACACAAAATATCAGATTTGTTACAAAAGTATTTGCACTCGAGATATGTCTGTGAATTGCCGACGTTAGTCATAACTCGTACTCTGACAATTCAGAATACAAGTTGATGTTCATGTGAAGAATAAAAATACTTTTGTCCATCGAACAGTTTATATATTTAATTTGCATAACCCTTAGAATTTGCATATCTACAGTTTCATTTTTCAGTATCCCCTACACTGTATATGGTATTTACTCTCCTCTACTATGAACTGTCACTAAGTCAGCAATGTAGGATAAATGAGTAGTGCATAACTCTGACATCAAATACATAATATCACGTAGAATAGAACTCTGTTAAAGGTCGTGGTATGCACACTTTGACCCCCATCTGTGCAAGTTGGGTTAATTAGTTCGAAAGGCCTTATTGTTGTAGATTTCTACAATTTTATGTATTGTAGCTAACCTTACAAAAATGTTTTCTGTATTATTATATTTTTGGTTTGTTTGTTATTAAGCACAGGAGTATCGAAATCCGAATTTTAACGTTATAAGCCCTCAGACTCATCGCTAAGCCACCGGAAGACCTGTATGTAGTTAGCCTAAAAAAATTCTGTAATTTAAGTACCCTTAGAAAACTAATCATATTGTAGCTAATTCTTAACGCATGAGTATCTTTTCACCACGCAAATAGACAATATAAATGTTAGTGTTCTTGCTATATGATGTGTAATATTTTACCAATTTAAGTTAGCCCTTTTAATGCTAATAGTCAAATTCTTCTTAATTTTGAAAAAAAAACTTTAAGAGTAATTATTTAAACAATTTATCTAATTAGATTTGTTTGTGGATTCTTTACGTCGATGTTTTGTTCGAACCGTAAGTAGCAAGTTAAAAGTTCAATGAAACTCTAGGGAAGTTACTGTTATGTACGTTCTTGCACAAAGCAACTTAGAGATAAAAATTCCATACAAGATGTATCAAAATCTTTATATATATAAACGAAATGTGTGTTTGTTTGCACCTTAATTCCTCCAAGTCTACTGGCCCAATCTCTACCAAAATTTGTATATAAACACTATGAACTATGAGGAATTTCCTTTGTTGGTCAAAATTGAACTTTGTTAACTACTCTCAACCTATTGAGTCAATCTCAAACAATCTTGGCAGGTTGACGCCTTAGACAATGTTGAATATTCTAAAAGGATTCAAGGTCAAAGTATGAAAGTTGCTGGATTGTTTCTCAAACAACCATACTTTTCTCATTGTCAATTATATTTAGGGTGTTTAAGGGTGGGATCACCTCAAAATTCTTATTTGTTGGTAGCTAGAAAGAAACTACAACTGTTGTGTATAAAGAAGCTTTGTTATAATTTTAAAATTTTGAGATAAAGTTTATCTCCAAGTTATTACTTTGAAATATATGATTGCTGTTAAACTTACATTGTTTTAATTAAGTTTAAAAATTCCCCGTCAGTTGACTGGCATTTCAGATTGTATCATATAAAATTGAAATTTTAAATAATATCATTATTTAAAGTATTTATTTGCTTTTCTACACAGGTAGCCTAAATCCAATGTACCTCAATTCTCGACTTAGTGAGACACTAACGCCACCTAGGGCTTTGCCCACCGAGTTTTCTCCTTATGGACTTCGACCTTATGATTTCGCCCGCCATCTTCTGACGTCTCAAACTACTGTCAGTAAGATTTTAGGCAAGTTGGTTTTTTAATTTTAATAAGCTACTGATGAAACTAATTTTTATAAAACATGACACTACATTTCAGTTAGGTTGATATTCCATTGAAAAAGCCACACAACCTTTGAAGTTAAATTAAAATTAACTGCTATCTCTACCTGCCAAAAACATGACTAATCAATAGGCTTAATGATTAGCGACTTACATTTTAATCTAAGTTCATTAATCAAATTGTTACCCAACTTGGTACGGGTTATTTTTCGAAATTTATTATTAATTACGTAAGGTTTGTTATTTAAGTAATTTGGGAAAATGCGTTGAAGAAATGGTGTTGTAACGTTTTAATTATACAAACAGCATTACTAATCATTCTGTATTACCTACAGACATGCAATTATTGCATGCAGGTGAGTTAATGCTACATTCCAGCTACATACATAGCTCTTTGTATATTTTCCTGGACAGTTGGGACCTGATAAAGAACATGGTTTGGTTTCTTATGTATTTCAAGCAAAGCTACACGAGTGCTATCTGCGCTAGC